ATGATAATTCAACATATGCATATGTTTATATTTTAAATTTGAAATCTAAACACTTCAAAATGTCTAATGAGACCACACTTGTTGCAATTTATGCAAATAATAAAAACTATTTGTTTTACTTAAGTTTTTTAAGCATTATTATTTCTTGTGAATTATTACCATCCAGCATACTTGGGAATAACGAATAGAAATTCTATCGAATAGCACTATTCATTAGTTTTTTTGGCTAACTTCTATTTTATTAGTTTGTTTTTAAATTAACTAACTAATAACTTCTATCAGTTACTTTTTACGGGACTAACTAATAACTTCTAACTAGTTAGAATTTTCAACTAACTTTCCCAATTATGCGGAAGCATCTCAAATACTGATTATTTATTTCACGTGATCAGTGAGGGTTGCGTGCGGCCGTGAAAGGTCAGTGCCCTTGTAGACAAACAACGCGGGGGGTGGGGAAAGAGAAAGTCAAAGTCCAGTTGCTTTGGAATGCAGTGGGCCTGTGGAAGGGTAGTGACGGCCATTATCAACACCCCAAGCACTGATGGGTGGGAAGGGGAAATGTTTGTTTGGTGATTGATATATCATCTCAAGTGTCAAAACATTGTCTTAGTTGATGTATCTGACAAGTTTTATGTCATTTGTTTATGTTGTAGTAATGTAAATAAATGTGACAATGTTTGATTAAAACACAAGTACCAGGGGACCGATCTTGCTCGAGGGGTTTGATTTGTTCAAGAGGTAAAAAATAGAGCTCATAAGCCTACAAATTTCAGTCTTACTATGATTAATTAAGTAGTAAAGTCAATTCGTTTTTGTTAGACATCCATTTATCCTCAATTTAGTCTACAAAACTTTTAAATTTGGACGATTAATCTATAAAATGTCCACAATAAGCTTCAATCAATATAAAACTCATGATACATAACATCCTGTTATCTGACGACCGTTATTGCATTATAAGTCACTGGGATCGTGGAACGTTGCAACTATAATTACGGGATGGTGTAATAACGCATCAATTCGTGTGGTGGTGCATCGTCGAAAAATACAAATCTTCTTGGCATTTCCTTTAGATTTTTAGTTCAATGTCAGTGTATATTGTTTTGCAATAAAACACTTAATGTTTTTGAACAGTCGTAATTATCCCTTTGGTTAGTAAGACATCATACAATGCAAATGTATTATACAAGCAATTTTCAATAGCATTGAAATTGGAGGAAATCGTAGGAGCATTTTTAAAATCATATCTTGCGCAATCTTTACTCATATTATAGTATATATTAGTAACCAAGATGTGACATTAAAAAGAAAAATACTTAAAAACAACTGCCCAGTGAAAACTAAAACTAACTTTATTTTCTATCAGTTAGTTTTTCAACTAACTAATAACTTCTATCAGTTACTTTTTAAACTAACTAACTTATAACTTCTATCAGTTACTTTTCACGGGACTAACTTATAACTTATAACTTCTAACTAGTTAGAATTTTTGACTAACTTTCCCAACTATGCCATCCAGACTGTCAAAAGTTAGTTTTACCAACTAGTAAACTAATATTTTTGTAAAAAGCATTATTATCTCCGTAACCATCCTAGATACAGCTAGCATAGTATTTTTGTAAACTTGAACTGAAATATAATTCCTTCCTGAAAAAACTGAAAATAATATAATTCAGGCCGAAGATAAAAATTAACAAGTATATGTCATGCCATTCTAACCCCATTTTTTTATTTTCATTCTTCTTATAATTCGCACGTAACTCGTTTTTCTGCCTTAATATGAATCATAAAAAATAAGAATCTTTGGTTATGAAAAATAAGAAAGGTCTAGCCTTATGGGTAGAGTAGCTTGTAGGGAGAGTCAGAAGCATAGATAGTCGTATGGGGATTTTCTATAAAAAAAAGTTCTCCAATATATAGGAATATGTTTTTATTTGAAGCAGGAACTGCTGGACTGATTTTAAAGTAAAATTTAACGTTTAATAAAAATAATATAAAACTATCCTGACGTTGGAGGTGATTTATTCTATACAAAACCATTTCCATAAAGTTATACTATCTAAGAATGATAGATAGTTAAAATTTCAATCATTCAAACAATATATAATATACAAGAAAATAAATTACTTTTCTTCACACAAAAAAGGAAGCGGAGTTTTAAACCTGAATGGATGAGACGACGAGATATATTTTCCACAACTGTGGAACGAAACCCTTCAAAATATTAGATTAAGGCCCTCCTACACGGGTTGCCTGATATTCCATCGACAAAGGGTTCTGAATTACAAAAGTTTGTAATATGAGCCGTTCAAAGGTGTGGTCTTTATCCGTGTAATCATTTTGTGGTATATTGGACACCAAGTTCCCTTTACCCTTTACTTTGATTACAGTGTTAATCACATTCATTCTTGGATATTTTGTTGAATTTGAAATTTAAGGTTATATTTGATAAGAAATTGCATATGATTTTTCCAAAGTCTTACTTTTACTAATATTTTTGAGGAAGGTAAATTCAAAATCTCCTAAAAATACTTAAAACATTTATTTACACCTGAACAGTTAACGTAGAAGACAGTAAATAATAAATATGTTAAATAGTAATTGATTTCAAATGGACACTGCAATCATCATTAGACCCGAACGACAAGTATCTCGATACTATTTTAAATATAGGCGAGGTTAAGGAAAACTTAAATTTACATTTGAAAGGAAAACTTAAATTTGTATTTTAAATGAAAACTTAAGTTTTAATTTAAGTTTTCCTTTGAAAAATTTATAATATTTAACGATAAAAAATAACCATCACACTTTCAAAATTTTGGTATGATCGAAAATACATTAATGTATACATAGAGTTAATTTAGTAGAATATGAAAGAAGTGTATTCTATTTGTTTTATGTTTTATATTTTATTTTCTTGTTCTGCAGTGAATTTTGTGTACTAAGTAGATTTGATTCAAAATCCAAACTAAAGCAATTTGTTTCGCTAAATTATTTTCTAGCGGAAATGAAATACACATACATTACTCCCAAATTGTTCAATGAATATACGCTAAATCTTTATCGACAATAAAAATGAATAGGCCTCAACTGTGAAGTAGTCGTTTCAACTTAGAAGTATGTGCTTCGGTTTTATCATCATATACATTAAATACTAAATACTTGAGGCACTGGTCTACACAGTGCTACAGCTCTTACTAAGAATATTTATTTAAAACAGTGGTTACTGCAGGTATTTTGTCTGTTTCATTATATAACACTGAGCATTGAAATTCAACGCACTTTTCATGGATTGATAAAATATTCGTAAAAGCAGTTGATCCTTGAAGAGTTTATTGAAACATCCAATAAATTTGTTTACTTAAACATTAATATAATAATTTATTAATCACAAATGACCCACTAGTTATCAATAACTAAAACGCCTTAGAATTAATCATATCGGAATCATCACTAAATCTATAAACAAATGGAAGTTGCACACATCTGGTCAATGGTTATTGCTTTACACAATACTATAAGTTACATCTAAAGATAATCTAAAAATATATTATATGCCATGCAAGTAAAAATATTTTTGATAACTATAAAGTTACAACATAAAATACCATTTTAATGGAACTTTAATATTATTTTCAGTGCTAGCACTTAAAAAGTTAATTTATAGATGTTAACAAAATTACTTCAATTCTTCAAAGTTTTGGATGATTGATGAAACATTGCATCGTAAAATCTTTTAGATGAAAAACCACAAGATATAAGGGCAAAACTTTAATCGTGTTATACGTTCAAAATTACTTTACATAAACAACAAGTTTAAATTACCTGGTGTACTCCCAAAGCAACCACTGGTTTTGAGTTACATAAACACATTTCGTGCTACTTCCTACATAAAAATGTTTTTTTATGATCAAATATATTTACAACGAATTTCTCTCCCCTTCATTTTATAGGGTATCCGCCTTATTATTTATAACTTGAATGTGGTTTTTGGGAATGAGAGGATTCGAGTCAAAAAAGTGATCACGATTACATAAGATCCTTTAAAACAAACATTGTTCTCCATAACTAATAAACTATGCGGGCATCGATTGCGCCAACTAACCTGAGTCAGGTTACTGAATTGCGCCAACTACTCCAGGGAGCCACCCAATACGTTCATTAACTGCACCAAGTGGCGGCCCTCTTTGACTAGAGTAGGTTACCGGTTCTCTTTGACCGTATAATTGAGAAGGTTAGGTTAAGTTAGGTTTGATCAGGATGACATGTAAACAAGGACATTCCTTCTGCCGTCAACTCCACCCCTACTACACCTGGCTTGGGCTTGGCTCAACAAAGGAACTTTTTTGAGACCTTTTAAGGGCTTGGCGCAGTTAAGGAACTCTTTGGCGCAATTAATGCACGATCAATAAACTAGTTGGTTGCACCCAGCGTTTACGATTTTTTATTTTTATTTTTTTGAAAAATTCACAAAGGACCCATGTTTGAACGAAGGGATGAGGCTTTGGGGGTTATTTTAACACCCAGTATACCAGGTAATCCAAAAATATTTTATATCATTTTTACCTGTACTGTACTTTAAAGTAAATTTAAGCATGTTACCTCAATCAATAGAATTTTATCTTTCACTGTTGTAACGTGACTTTTTAAATTCAATGTATTTTTGTTATTTTGGAATAAAAAAACTTGACTTATAATATTTTATTAATTAAGTAGAGCCTTATGTCAAAAAATGTTGATTCTTTATGCTATACATCTTTTATACCTAATACTTCCTATCCAAGGCAACAGTAGATTAAATCATTTAACAAACCTCCATAAATTTATTTAAAGTACATATTTTATTTATTAAAAATATATATAGTACAATTTCAATTTAACAAATCAAAGTTTTTCCACCATAAAGCTCTACTTAATATTTACTATGTGTTTTAAAGTATCAATCCTTCTTGAAATAGTTATATTAAGCGTTACACCTAGACCCTGCAGTGGTAACTTGCCTGTGGTGGCGTCGATGGAAGGGGGTTGTAGTGTAGCGACGCTCGCCGTGCTAGCAGCTGCTGGCAGCCCGAGCATGTTGTCTTGATGTACACCAATGTCTTGTTCAAACACTAGCACTAGTGACGCATCTTGGTACACTTCTTGCTGTAGGGTATCAGAAGATAACTACAATGGATCGTGTAACTTGATTGAATCTAATCTCATCACTTGGAGATTGAATTAGAAGTTAGTTTTGACTAAACCGTGTAGAAGTGTTTTTGTGTTGGGAATTTAATGTAAATAATCGTCATGTTAATACATTTCTCTATACGAATGCTACTTCGTTTAGTTTTTTGACGTTCAATTAGAGTGTGAACATTTTTGTCTGGTTTGATATAAGGAACTACGACATTTTTAATAATTTCTTTTAAATCGAAGGGCTTCTTTTCCATTCAGGGGGCTTAACATACGCAGTACATCTTATTTTCACTTCTTTGCATATTTCTTGGTAAATTTTCTTTGAAATAAAATGTTGGATCGTCATACAGTACAGAAATTTGACAAATTCTGAACAAAAAACTATAGCATGTATACGCCTCAACATTGCTCCTTTACGATATCGAAATTACTTTAGCTCTCACATTCATTCGGTTTCCTCGGAACGATTATTTTTTAATAGTTCTTGGTTTGAAAACAGCATATCTATTGTTTCCTTTTCCAACTGAAACCAAAAAGTTGACAGTTTCCGATTTAAAGTTAAAACTTAAATCTTTTGCGCTGGGGGGGGGGGGGGGTGTGAATTATTAATTTTTATAGCTGGGGTATTTCGAACCTATTTTCCATTTGAAACATTAGACATCCAAAAAAGCAAACCTTGTTGATAATAAAAAAACTCACGGAGTTAGTTCCAAACATTGGACAACTTTACCTTGCAAATTTCACAAGCAATTGTGTTTTTGTTTAGTGAATCAACAGTGTTCCCGGCATGACAACGAAATCGCGAACTGCGAACGTTTTTTGTCAGTAAACTAAGTTAGATTCTCTCTCTCTGATTCTGCCTACGATACAGAATACCTGTGATTTCCGACTGGGTAATTTGACATCCATTCGGCTTTCCGATTCCTGAAGCCGTCTGACAGTAAGGGTTTTAACAATGTTTTTGTTGACTACCTAAACATTGCTCGGGTGCAAGCGTTTTTTATTGTAGGGTAGCTGTAGAAACTATCGAACTCAATTCTTTTTAGTGTAAATTCCGTTAGATATTTTCTACTTCGTAATAACAGGTCAATAAATTCAAGACCTAGTTTCCTAAATAAACATGCATTTAAATCAACAAAAGTAAAATGTAATTCGACAATGTAGTCTTATACTATCCGCTTAGTAAAAGTTTGAAAATCAATTTTAATTCCCTCATAAAATCAAAAAGAAAATGCGTTTGATCATAAGACACAATTGAGAACATGAATGGATGTAGTTTCTAATTATAAGGTCGCCGATTCGATCCTTAGAAAAGGTCCGTACAAGACTAGTGAAGTCGTTGGCTCAGTTGGGAGCGGCTATCTAACCAAGTAGGCGATGTTGTAGTTTTGCGTTCTGGTTCTCTGATTTGAAACCTGTCAGTAATTTGCAGTCATAACTAAAAATATTCTGCCTTTTTATCGTTTGATACGTTATACGACATCATATTTACCATGAAAATTTAGGTTAAAAAGATCTCTGAATTATAAACAAAAAAAATTGTATAACGGTGATCAAATTTTCGTACGAAAACGCCGTGTACTATCGGTTCAATATCGAAATACTAGGTATCGTTTTTATTTCGGACAAATGGGTTTGATTCAATCGATTCATAGTTGAATTAATATAATGAACACCATTACTGCAACGATGTGAAGTGCTGCCATCGGTGTTCGTAGTGTAGTGGATAAAGTATTCGGCTCATGTCCAAGAGGTAATCAGATCGAATTCCAACCGGTGACATTAACTTTTGTCAACAATTTTGCTTAGAATGTGATTACTTCTTAACTGTACATCTTTTGTTACAATTTGAGGCATTTATAATTTGTTTTATGGGCAGGACTATTTTTTTCGATTTGTAAACCTTCATTAGATTTTTTTTCATTATCAGCAAGTTTGGTTAGATAGGTTAGGTAATTTTATAATAGAATGATATCTGGCTCTCATTTCGTCTCTAACACAATAGCCTCTGACAGATGTGACAAACGACAACGACAACTACAAACGAATTGAAGGTATAGATGATGTCGTGATTCGACAGAGTAACGAACGATAGTCGCAAAATCGCATGGCTTTTTATACGAAAAAGTGCTCACCTTGTAGAACAGAATTGAATTGACATTGAAGTACTGTAATACATTCATTTTGAATCACCTTAAAATCAGAACCAAACTATGACGCGGGGCCGTGGTTATATTCATGTAGTCTTCATATCCATCAGGACTGATATTCACTAACTCGTAAGCCTTTAACTATGTTAAACGATGTTAATGAAATCAACGGTCAATCAGTCCCAACATGCTGTGACGTAGTTGTGGGCAATATTTAGCCGATATCCAATATACAATGTGTCCAATATTTCCAATATGTGCGTATCCTTCTGCCGTAGGATTGTGTATTATTTTTAGATAAGGGGTATTTCCACGAAATGGACCGAAATGAAGCCAACTTGATGTAGTTTCCACCTAGAAATCATAAGGTTGCCGGTTCTATTCTGCGAAAAGTTCGTTTTTGAAGTATTAAAGGGCCTTTCAAACCGTTGTATTTGATGAATTTCATAAAATGTCCTAGCTAAACAACAGCTAATCATAGTCAGTGCTATAACCTATTTATTAGTCATTAATCGCTCATCATCGTATAAAAAAACACCCTTTTGGCGTTATGAAATAGTATATTTCGTACCTAGGGCCGAAAATGAGGTTTTGCCGGCTCGAGATAGTTAAGTTCGAGGCGAAGTCGTGAACTTAAAACGACCGAGAGCTACAAAACCATTTCGGTCCATGGTACTAACGATATGTTTCACCGCACTTATCCTATTACCACTATTCACCCCAATAATCATGCACACTAATAGTCAACACAACTACAACTTTAAGGTTATGTGAAGAAATAATTTGAGGAATCAGCAAAAACAATAATAAACAGTTGCTAGGCAGCCGTGACAAAAACCAAGTCTATTGCAATACTTTGGATACTGATTGTGTATTTAATATGCATTTATGTTTTAAGAAAGTAAGCGGGCAGCTGATTTTCCTGCCGAAGGGATGTAAAAACCTGATCGGTCCCCAAATGACGATGACAGCTGGCATGGCCAGCAAAACGTAACTCTGAGCTACCAATTAACGTATGTAAAACAGCTAAAAACATCATAGTATGGTGAAAAAGAAATTTCATCTACTAAATTATAAAGAAATAGTCACCACAAAAATAATTACGTGAAAATTAAATTCACACGCTATTTGAAACGAGCCGGGTCGAGTGGGGACAGCTCACAAAGATTTAATGAGAATCGCACGTTTCCACACCCACACAACGTTCTCATCGCGTTTAAATTAACAAGTAACACCTCGGATTAGTTTGCACCTTTGTTCGTTAAGTGACACTGACAAGGTTTTGTTATTCAGTGCAGACTGAGCGCTGTGTAATGAGTGCAAGCGTTATAAAACATGAGTTTTGTGTGATGAGTTTTATAATGAAACGGATTGTTTTTTGTGTAATATAAATCGAAGATAAAAAATTATAGTTTGACTGGGACTAAAAAATGTATTGGTTACACATTTTTTTAGCCAAATGACTATTCCTAGTTGCGCAGATTTTAAAATACCTTTTGGTCACTATATGGTTTGTTTTTGTATATGTTTCTGGACATAATAAATACATTTTTCAACACTGCTCAATGTATTCTATACTACAAAATTGTACAAAACAGCAATTATGTGCTCTAACAACCTCAATACAATAACACAGTTATTTGGTATAACTATGGAAACAATTTAATCCTAACAGCGGAATAGGCTAATTATAACAAAAAATATATTCAAACTCGTTTATAGATGTCACTATATACAGGGTGGGGCAATGAGAACGCCACAATTTGTTTTAGCTGTCACATGTTAATCGTTGCAACAACGAATGATCAGCTGTGCTTAAAACATCAATTAAACTATACCATTTTAGTAAATATTATGCCCGAGGCTATTAACAATGAGATTTTGATGTGCAAACCTATTTTTAAAATAGTGGTTCTAGTGCAAAAACCCAGAGATTGTTTGGACCACATTCCATCCTTGGTCAACATGGCACTGTACCAGATTGGAAAACAATGGTGAACTGGGTAAAATTATTTAGGATAAACGCTTAAACCTTAAAAATAATCGGTGGGTCCCACAAAACTCTTTGTACATCAGCAAATGTTGAAAGAGTGCGAGTCGCAGTAACTCAAAGTCCAAAGAGATTTACCAGGAAGCTGTTGTTGAAAGCTTTACGTTGGCTCCTTTGTTTGGAAGGGGGGGGGGGGGTTTCTAATAAGCTACTTGAAGTTCGAGGTTTTTCAAAGTCACCCCACAGATTTACTTGAACCGAAGCTAAGAATTGTCCCAAAACTTAAGTGATTCCTGAAGAAATGCAGGAGGAGTATTTGATGGAGTTTTCAAGTGCCTAATATCAAGTAGGACAAGGACGTCACTTGCAGGATTTCGTTCTCAAGAAATGTAAAAATGACTTTGTTAAGTTAAAATGGCAAAAGATAAGCTGTGTTTTGATGTGCTATTTATATCCATAGGGTGAATATTATTGAGTTTGTACTGCTTATAAATTGGGGCGCTTTCATTGCCCCACCCTGTATTTTGTAGAGTATATTCCTAAGATAGTTCATATGTATATTTTGCACTAACAAATGGTGATGTGTATCTAAAGGGGAGTGTAATGGTCTATTGGTAGCGCGGGACTTCGGCCTCTTAGGTCCCGGGTTCAAATTCCACCAATCACCAATTGATTTTATTTAAGTGATAATGCCACAACTTCTAGGTCTAACCTGAAGTAATGTAAACAGAAGACCCGGAAAAAGTCTATAATCCTAGGGAAAATGTATCTAACGTCGGTTTCCAGGCTACGTAATGTAAAATAATAACGATTTATTATCATTAAAATCCATATTTTTTAGCCCCTGAGCTGATCTTGTGACTAAATCAATAAATAAGGTTACCTTCGTCAAGCTCATAGAAGTTGAAACATTGTTACGGCCGTTTCAGCATATCCATGCCATCATCAGACGTTCAGCCTAAGTGGCGTCGTTTATATACAAAAACACAAACTGTCACACGCGACGTACACATACATAAACATAAACGGGGGTTTTTTACTAAACAGGCCTGATGATTAGACATATCCGCACAAGAGCAAGTAGCTGACACTACTCAGCTACTGGAGTCAGCTACTTGCTCTTGTGCGGATATGTCTAATCAACAGGCCTGTTTAGTAAAAAACCCCCGTTTATGTTTATGTATGTGTACGTCGCGTGTGACAGTTTGTGTTTTTGTATATTAACGACGCCACTTAGGCTGAACGTCTGATGATGGCATGGATATGCTGAAACGGCCGTAACAATGTTTCAACTTCTGAGCTGATTGACGAAGGTAACCTTATTTATTGATTTAGATTTATTATCACTATTAATTTTTCTCACATTTCGCTTACCACAGAATTTGAATGGATTATTAAGTGGAATTGCATGTCTGAAAATACCGTTCAATGCTACGACAGATGAACACACCCACACACACACACACACACATATTTCACATATCGGCAAATTGGTCACATATTGGATATCGGCTAAATATTGCCACAACTACGTCATAGCCTATGTTGGGACTGATTGACCGTTGATTTCATTAACATCGCTTAACTTGATTCCAGGCTTATGAGTTAGTGAATATCGGCCCAGATGAATATGATGACTATTAATATAACACTGCATCATAGTTTGTTTTTGATTAAAAAGTGTTTCAAAAGGAATGTATTTCATCAATAGCTGTTATACGTGTACAATGCTTTTTGTTTAGAACTCAGAGGGAGATCTCTTAAGCCCAACATTTCAATGTAAATATGGATATAACTGTTAAATTTTAAGTGGTAACACCTGGATTCGAACCCACAATCTCGCTATCTTGGTTGCATATCTGCTACTTCACTATTCTTGTACGGACATATATGTAGTGTAAATGTTTATTTCCAAACATTCATAAAGGTTTTATTTCTATTCTAGGTTTTATGAGTGCCTGCGTATAAAACGGTTCATTACGGATTTGAAATTGGACGTAGAAACAAACTTTCAGTTGATTATGATTGAAGCAAATATAACTTAGAAAAAAGAAAAAACAGCTCTTGCAATACTACTGATCGTCAAATTCAACATATTATCTTTTATGGATCGTCCAAAATCCACCTCTTTTCAATAATTCATCTTGAGTTTGGTTCTAGAGCTGACTTCCTGAATAATTCATTTGTAAAGTCAAACATAAATTACAATATCTATTAATTTAGTATCAAATTTTCATTTTGAACCAAATTTTACCTAGTTAGTAAAAAGTTTAACTCCTAAAATATTAAACGTGTGTTGGCACGTACACCATATTTGTTAGTGAAATGCATTGTGAAATCTGCAGCTTAACCCTCTCAATAAATCAAAAACATTTCGATCAAACTTCCTACTCTTCACTTTTCCTAAGAATTAAATTTTCGTTTTTAATAAAAAAAAACCCACTTCAATTTTATAGATGTTTTCTGCGTTCATTGTGAAATTTGCTTCATAACACTCCCAAACCACCAATGATTGCTAAAACTTCCTACAGTGAAACTACGTTCAGAGTTTTCCTAAACATTTATTTATGTTTTGCCAGGGAGAAAACGTTTCACCGTATTACGGACTTATCTATAACTCACTTTCTTTCTCATAATATAATTCCATTTCGAGAGTAAACATAGAAGAAAACCGATGGTGTAATCTAATAAGGAATGTCATTTCTGAAAAGGACGCCGCATTTGAGGCAATATCTCAAATGCATTCGTATCATACATTTTTAATATCGTTCCAAACATTCTTGAAAAAGTTCCAAAGTATTTCTCCTAAAGTAGTTACATTTTATCCAAGTCTTCATTTTCTACTTTAATTTAAATGCATACTTAGCAGAGTGAATTTCTACGAAAAACAGTCTTTGAGTTTGGACATACTTATTTATATTTTGAAATACATCTAGACGAAATTACGTGAAAAAGAATGCTTTATTAATGTTTATAAAAATAATATTTTTAGAAGTAACATAAAGTTACTATAGTAAATTCAAGGGAGCGACTTAGTCTAGTTTTAGACGTTTTTATGTATTTTTCATTATTAATTGAGCTCCTAAATTAAGTTTAAAGGAAAAATTTACAGTTCAAAATAAAAAAAACTCGTTTTATCACAAAATACAGAAATTTTAAAATTATTTTTCCTTTTTTTAAAGCTTTGGAAAAATTAAATTCAAAAAAAGTAATCATGAAATTCAAAGCGTAAGTTTGTTACGACAACACGCGGATTTAAACTTATTCTGATGTTGTACCGCAAAGTTAATATTATTTGTTTTTAATATTCCCACTGTTTACCTTACCTAACTTAACCCGTTGATTTTTCGCAAAGTAAACATAAGAAGATTACTTTATTTACTTTAGGTATCACGGGTGTTTACTTGTTGAGATTATTTGGGGTTCAGTAATGTTTTCTTTGCAAATACGCAAAACTAATACTAAAACATGAATAATTTGGAAAATAAATAATAATGTTGATCATTTTTTATAAAGTTCATTGCCATGAATTTTGAATCAGAGGTGTAAGTAGTTTAAATATTATTAATGCAAACATAATCTATCAATTATTTGTGTTTTACTAAATGTACGGCGAATTTGATTGCTAACCTTAAGAATTCAAGAAAAGATTCCCTACGATTCAATTATGATTTATAGCATATATTGCTAAGGCATAATTTAAATCATTTGAGCGTCAGTTTAGGAACTAACAGGGGATGACAAATTTGTTTAACTGTTTTTACAAAATATTTGAAACAAATCTGTGATTTTGTACTGCAATTCATAAGTTAATGAATAAAATCTTGCGCATAACAAAAAAAAAAAAAAAATATTCTCCTCATTATGTTAAATAAAGCAAACAGTAGCAGAGTTATAAGAGTTGAAAATTAATTTTTAATACTGCTTAAGGTTTTTATGACTTCCCTGTAAAAACTCTTTTTTGTGTACAGGATGATATTTTTGTGTTTCGTAAGAAAACTATTTATATTGGCATTTGAACGTTTTTTAAATACTTAAAGGAACCGCAACCACTTCCATTGCACACTGAATCCGTTCAGTGCTTACTTAGTGGATTTAGTGCTAAACTTTGGATTCGGCTATCTTCACGTTCTTAAATTGGTTTATTTGTGGCCTTTTGACCTGAAGGAAAACGCCAAGCCTGAGTTTTTTTTTACTTCCCAATATTGTGATCACGCTTAATTTTTTCTTGTGTTTAATGTTTAACTAAATATGTTTTTTATAAACCAAATAACATTTATTGTTTGTATTATATACATATATTCGTCGATAAAAAATAATACTAGTAACAACATTTGATATTAATAATAGCATGTATGTCACCAATTAATAAGCATTAATGTAGGTTATTAATAAGCGAACCAGAATGTGGTCTTAAACAGTTAGAGAACCTCTGCCCTAAATAAAGCCCTAACAATAAGGAAGGACGGCAATTTTGTTGAGAGAATAAGAAGAAGAAGTCGACCAGGTGTGTTTGATAGATGTTTACTATTTTTCCGCTTAATTCAACGTGAAACTTAGGGTCAATTTATCAAGACTCTTTTGCCACCCCTCCCTCGATGGAATCGTTCTCTTTCAAGCTTTTCGTTAGAAAACCACCCAACCGAATAATGGTTGACAACTCCTCTTTACGTCTTTTACCTTTCATTTTATTATTACTTAAACCTCACAATACTAGTAAAGATGTCTTTATTTGCATTAATTAACATATTGCATTACTTGTAATTTATATTTACCATTACAGATATTTGTTTACCATTTTTAACTTTTAAAAATTGAACATGTTTGATTGTCTGAGTGAATAAAATGCTCTTTTGGTAATGAGGTTTCCAGTTCGATTTTGAAAAAAATAGCGTTTTTCTAGTTCGAAACTGGATCCAGCGGTCCTTAATGATCGTGCTTTTATGGCCATATAAAAAGATTCGGAGGGGTTTTTTAAGTAACAAGGCTACCAACTCATCCATTCAAAACTTGCCATTAATTTATCACACACACTACGTAAGGCGGTGACACACTATCGATCTTTTCCCCGATCAAGACCCCGAACCGAGCAGGGAGAAGGGAGAAGGGAGATAAATATCAGCAAAATTTCACTCCGAACATTTCCCCGAACATGGCCAAGACCAGACGAATTCTACCGAGCGCGGCAAAAGGGAGTTTGGAGAGAGATAGAGAGTGTGTGCGAGTGAGAGCGCGGATGCAGTGACGTGGAAGAGGGAGGGGGGGTGCATTGACCTTGCTGTTGCCTTGCCACATTTGCAATAGGACCCACACCGACAGTCGACAGTCACTGACCCATATTGCTGTAGTATGAAGTGTCAAATTAGTTTTCAATTTCAATAATCTTTTGTTGGGTATTTTTAAATTGTGGTTAGTGTAGTGCAAAATATTCTGTTTATATACAAACCATTCGTTAAGCCGTTGTTGTGATGGATATGCAAGTTGCGGCAGCAGGATATATTTATATATACCTGGCTACCAAAAAAATCCGAAGGTCCCGGAAAAATCGACGGTGGTGGGAGACCAGGTTATGTAATGGAAGAGCAAACCAAAACCCCTTGCTAAATGACCTGAAGTTCCAGGAAATAAGTGGACAATATAAAAACTTTACTAGGATGTCCCCCCAAGACTTTGAGCACCTGTTGAACTTGATTGGGGGGAAAATCACTAAAAGAGACACCCATATGAGGGAATCTATATCAGCTCAAGACAGGTTGGCAGTAACCTTACGGTTTTTAGCAACTGGAGACAACTTCAACAGCCTACAGTACCTATTTAGAATTTCACGCCAAGCCATTGGACAAATAATACCAGAAGTTTGCCAAGCTCTCTGTGATGTTCTCCAAAACATTAAGGTTAGTACCCATGTAAAAAATTTGCTATAATATTTAATAAAATCGAATCATAATCTTTATTTATATAAAACAAGGACATGTGAGTACATCTGAAAAGTGTCAACTGTCAACTTAGCTATTTTTTAAATTAACAGTGCTTAACTATTCATATAGGTACTCTTCTATTTAATATATTACTTTGCAAACCAAGTAAGTTTTTAGTTGTAGTTTAAATTTGGAGCAGTTTACCTTTAGTTCTTTTGGTAATTTTCTGAAAAATTTGCTCCTTTGTAAGACTTTTGTACATCTCACTTGTGACTTTAAGGTATACGTAATACAATCGTTAGGCTACATAAATGTCTAGAAGTATTACATACATAGGTGAGACATAAGTTAACAGTAGCCTACATAAAATAGCTCCATGGAAAAAGAGGTAATAATAAATTAGAAATTAAACAACACAAATATTGACAATATTGTAATTTAATACAGTGAGATAAATACACAATCATATAAAGGTAAAAAAGTATTCAACAATAATCAATAATGTTTGAGTTACACTTATTAAATTAGTGGAAAAAGTACCATCATTAAGTAAAAAAAGTATCATTAAGTAATTACTTATATAGGATAACAATATTGTAATTTAATACAGCGAGATAAATACACATTCATATAAAGGTAAAAAAGTATTCCACAATAATCAATAATGTTTGAGTTGCACTTATTAAATTAGTGGAAAAAGTACCATCATTAAGTAAAAAAAGTACAATCATTAAGTAATTACTTATATAGGATACAGATAATTAAGTACCAGTAGTTCAATAGTTTCTTCATACCGTCTTGAACTGCAATATTTTGTAGACTGAGCATACTAAATAAATTTGATTTTACACAAATCATAAAATTATTTTAAACATTGCATGAGCTACAAAATATTTGTAAAAGCAGAGTAGGCCTAACCTTACTGATGTTCCACCTTAATTACCAGTGCACTCATCATCTAAGTAGTTTATGGGGTTGAAAAGTTTGGTCGGATTGTTTAATTCAGGTACTTCTATGGAGGGTGGTCTTGAATCTGTTCTACTGTGAGACCTAGATGAATTTGGAGTATGAAATTGGGATCCCCGATTATTGAAGTGCGAAGGAAATGAATTGTGGCAATAGTTTGATTCTAATGTAGGTGAATACATTTCACGGTTATTCCCATAAACAGTATTCAAATTTCCTCTTTCCGCCTCAATAAATACCTCTAATATTTTGCTTTCGACGCAAGACCTCATGTAATTGTCAAATCGCTTGAGTTTTGATGCCACAAGTTTCCCAAAAATTTCTGCTGGATCTTCTTCTGGTTTTGTGCTTGTGGACTGTGTTAATATATTAAAAGCCTTGTCTAGTCGCTTTTCTTCAAGGATCCGCCTTTGCTTTGCTGTCATTTTATTTTTACCTGACTTATAAGGCGATTTCTTACCCGGTACACGTGAGGGATTCACGGTGGCTGCCTCAGGTTCATTAGTTCTATCTTCTATCTGCTCTGAGTCCATGGTTTTGTCCATTTCGTTGGGCGTGCCTATCTCTTGCGTGTTTATCTCTTCATAATTCTCTTCAACTTCATGCTGAAGATCATTACCCCCATCGTCAATCTGGAAAAAGCCAAAAAAAATTTATTTTCTAAAAAGTTTTAATTTTTTTATAAAGCTTTGGAAAACATGTATGGTAAAATTTCCATACAACATAAAACTATTGCTTACGTTCAAAATTGATAATAATTAATTTTGTTATTACTGGCTATTTGTTTCCAGATACCAGCACAACCTGAGGAATGGGAAAAGATTGCAAAAGACTACCACAATAAGTGGAACTTTCCGCACTGCATCGGAGCCGTGGACGGCAAGCATGTTGTGATTGAAAGTCCAACTGGTAGTGCAAGTGTCTTCTACAACTTTAAAGGATTTTTTAGTGTTGTTTTGTTTGCGTTGGTCGACGCAGACTATAACTACATGTTTGTGGATGTTGGGGCCCAAGGGAGCGCTGGGGACGTCGCAGTATTTGAAAACTCGGCTCTTGGGAAGAAGTTGGCTGAAGGATCGCTAGATCTTCCAGAACCGAGACCGCTTCCCGGAATGGAGTCTAATGACATCCCTTATTTCATTGTGGGGGACGAAGCATTTGCTTTGTCTGACTTCCTTATGCGAATGTATGCTGGACACTTTCCTAAGGGAAGCAGACAGAGGCTGTTCAACTACCGCCTATGCAGAGCTCGCCGGGTTGTGGAAAACGTTTTTGGGATTACGGCCTCTGTGTTCAGAATACTAAGGAAACCCATGGCTTTGCAACCAGAGAAAGTGAGCTTGATAGTGCTCACTATAACAAAGCTGCACAATTTCCTGCGACAGCGCAAACACTCAGCTGAAAGGTACACTCCCTATGGCACTTTTGATGAGGAAATTGACGGGGAAGTAGTACCGGGGTCATGGCGCAACGACTCTTCGATGTCATCAATGTTGCCCCTCAAAAGAGTAGCGCGCCGTCCTCCTCTCTCTGCTGCTGAGGTCAGAGACAAGCTGTCGCTGTACTTTGCAACTGTTCAAGGAAGAGTACCGTGGCAGAACAAGAAGGCCTAAGCACAAGAAGGGATAGCCTACTTCATAAATGAAATGTTTTTTTTCACTCTTATTTGTCTTTGGTTGTGTAACTCCTGAATTGAGTGTTTGACAAAAATCAAAATATAACCTAAATCGTTATAATATAAAATGGCATCTTATTGTTTTAGGTACCAATTTACCCCTGTTAATTAAAATTTCTTTATTAAAGCACACACGTATCAATAGTTGTTAACCTCTTAATAATAGTAGAACCTTAATAATAGTTGAATGTAAGATTATTACATTCAATCTTAATTATCCATTGCATGGATATGTTTCGATAATAAGTTACTTCAATATTTAGTTCATTCGATTATTATGTTATGTACAACTGGTTTGATATACTCATTCATTCGATAAAAAGTAGTACGATAGTATTCTTTCGAAAGTCCCTACTGTACACAGCTTAAGGAACTGCAGCTGTTCAGAGATTTTTCTAACCTATCAGTAAAGATTATTATGAAAAATTCTTAATCTTACCGTATTCAGCACAGACTTGGGCTTATTCTTCTCCATTGTAAATCGCATAGCCTCAAAAGCATACCAAGATCCAGCATAATGAGCACCGTCAGCATCTAAAAATGTATTTATTAATTTAGTTTGATGTTACTGATATTACTGTGTTTGTATTGGGATGGGGCTCATAAGGTATTGATCTCAGGGACTGAGGAAAATTTTGAGAAGACTACAGTATTTTGTTACTATGGACTACACCATAGAAACGAGAAATATACATAAATAAATCAAGTTTGTTTGCCATATAAAGTACAGTGCCCAAGTTTGAAGCTGATAACTCAAGTGGTTTAAACGTTATCTAAAACTGGAACAGAATACTGGGTATGGAGACCTTAAATCATTATATATACTCTTTGATAACACAGGTTGATTATTAATGAATTAATTTACACAAATCTACTAGTTGAACACTGTACAACTGTGACTTTAACTTAATTATAGCTAAACCCACCATGCTATTATAATTAGAATAATAAAATGGCATCATGTTTTTAAAATTACCCTGTAATTAAAAATTGAAATATAGTGAAATGTACTTCAACTATTATTTTACAAAAGGATTCCACTGTGTTCTGAGAGGTTTGAGACACACACAGTACCATATACACATGGCAAGTCACACTTTTTCAACGCTAAATGAAGTGAGCCTAGCTAGAATAACAAATAAATAAACAAACTAGGCTACACAGATATTCAAGAGAAGCTTACCTTTTCCTGTCTCCACTTTAGTCACTTTGGTACGTTCCCGTCGAAAAGAAGCCAACAGATTATCCCATTTCTTTTTGAGTTCAGTTGGTGGTCTTCCAATGACAGCTGATATTTCATTCCATGCATCTCTTCGCTTGACCTTGTGGAAGTGCAAAGGGTGCGATAAGTCCCACAAAATCGGTCGATCCTTATACTCAGCTATTAACAACAATGCGTTCTCTTCAGACCACTCCATGATGTGATTAATTTCAAATCAAACCTTCCACAATCACTGAACAAAACAAACCACGCGTGATAAATCACAGCAGACAACTGGAGTCGACAGTCAGTCGGTGGTTGACAACGGATCACACCGGGACCGGGAGGCGGGAACAGTGAACAGTGTTGCCAACGGTTCAGAGACTTTTTACCCTTCAACTGGTTCAAAATTACCCCGAAACTACCCGACTTGTCCCAATCTAAAAAATGAACACCAGACCAAAGCCAAAAAGTTTCTATAACATAAAAATTATTGTTAAAAGTCGCATTTTGAAAACTTGTCGCAAAAATAAAATATTCTACAAAGGATGCTTAGTTATATCTATTGATTTCTATTGATTTTATTCATTGAAATAACGTTACAGAATGATCATTTTAATTGCCTTTAATAATATTAATGTTTATATTATTTTTGAAAGAATTTCAGTCAACATCAATTACTTAATTCAACCTTAATATTATTGATATAATTGATTTATTGGTTTCTACACTTTCAACCTTGACCAAACAAACCACAAACATTACATCTTAAATGATTAAAATATATAACGGCAACATATTACCCAACATTTATTTATTTTACCAATTAAAGAGTTTAATTGCCATATTAAATCAGAACTATCAGTGCTAGCGCAGGCGGCCGCTCGGTGCGGCGCTCGCGACGATGTTCGGGGCAAAAATGTACCGTGACACACTATCGTACATCGGACCGTACATCGGACCGATCTTTTCTTTGATCTTTCGCCAAAAAACCGCCTCCAGAGCGCTCGTCTCCCTGCTCGGCCTGATGTCTTGTTCGGGGTCTTGATCGGTGTACGGACCCGTGACACACTATCGAACATCCTCCCTTCGACCTCCCTTCTCCCTTCTCCCTGCTCGGTTCGGGGTCTTGTTCGGGGAAAAGATCGATAGTGTGTCACCGTCTTTAGTGTGCCAGTGTTTATAAAATAATGTATTCAAAAGTTTTGGCATCAAAGGGATAAAAAAGCTGTTAGTAATGAACAAAAAAATTATATTTATAATTCAGAAAGTAGTGCGTATCACAGTAAGTAGATGAATAAAAACAAAGTAGCCTATACTGTATTTCAATCGTAAACAAAAAATTAAACTAACGAATACTTTTGGAGCTGGACCTTTTATGATGGAAATTTTCACATAAAACACGTTATTAACACTGCATTTAACTTTCATTACCACGTTTTGGCGACGAAAAGAAACTCAATTACGTGAAACGGGCTCTTGAAAAGGCACTTTTACTCGAGAGCGTAATGGAAAATTACACCAGAAGGGTTAAAATGACGACACAAAACCACAGTGGCCAAGTAGGCCATTACTGTTGTAAGGGATAAGTAGTGAGGGAATGAGGGTTCTAGGACATTTGGGTCGTCTAGCCGTTATAATGTGATGACGTAATTACAGAATACAATAAAGGAATGTAGGGGGTGACTGGCATATTTTAGTAAAATATTACCCTGGATGAAGGTTTACTTTGTCGTAAGTATAGCTGATAATGCTATTATTATAATTATAAAAAGGTTATAACATTTTTGATCAATTACTATTAAAAATTACGACAGTGTATATTTTTTCAGCAATGAATCCATCTTGTCAATCAAGTTGCTTCATTCATTTGGGACAATAGGCTTATTATTATAAAGGTTGGGACGTCAATGAATAAATATCAATTAACAAAACTGATAAAAGCAATCTAAATTCAAACAAACTCTATCAACTAACAAATTCTGTTAGGAAATACCCAGCTTTGACAATATTGTTCTATAACTGATCCAAGGAGATGATTGTATGATACAATTTTAGGGAATTGAACTTTAATTAAATTAATGCTTTAATATAAATAATTAATTAAAGAAAATCACTTCAATGTGTTTTTTACTACAAATAAACAAATAGTAGCCATATTATCCTTATTTAACTTTTTAACGTATTTATAGTTTAATAATTACGTAGTATTTGTTAAACAAAAAGTATCTCTTATAATGAAATATCGATAGTACAAGTAGTTCCTCGTATTCGAAATATTTATTTCAATAAATTGTGTAAATTAGAATCTATTTTTATTAGTTATAATTTGAACTCCTGATAAATAATAATAATAATAATAAATAATAGTCACAATCAAAACTACTGACTTTTCCAGAGAAAATACCCAGACTGATTGCTTCTATAGATATGGTTTACTATGGTATTTTTTAAGGACAATACTATAGAAAATGGTATTTTACATTACTGATATACTGTTCTTCACAAAAAATTATTTAAACATAGCTAATTCATTTTTATACGCAGTCGTATAATGTGACATGTATAATCTTAAAAACCTAGAGCCAAGTTGCTAATTTTAGAAATTTGTATTTATCAAGTAAAAATTGATACAAATTATAGCCTACGTATCATAGATGACGTGTCAGTTATACTTTTTCACCATATATTTCAAATTGAATAAAAATGTTTGAATCCTCTAACGCATCACAAATAATGAAAAAATGTCCTATTGATATCCATATCAACGATATCCTTCAGGGTAATTGGGTACTTATACCCCATCGTTAAACAAAAATAGGTCTGCTCATCAAATGCACGTTTTACTAGTCCCAGCAATATTTGCAATATACTTAGCGGTAATATATTATAATAAAGTATTTAAACTAAAAAAAAAAATAAAAAAGTGAATCGGTATGCTGTAAATATATTAAATGTACAATATGTATAATATGTTCAACAATGTACGTATGGAATCCATCTCATGTCTTTGTAAATACAAATTCGTTATTTGTATAGTAAAAATTGAAAAGTATTGTCAGACAGAGAAAAAATAAAATTCGTGAAAGCCAAAAGTACGTGGATAAAATATAAGAGTATGGATGAAACGACGACAGAATACTTTGTGTGGTTCTGAATAGATTCGAAATATCGAGAATAATTAACAATAAAAAAAATATTCCTACCTTTTTTTCATAATGGATTTGAAATATTTATTGAATTAGGGGGAGTTATTTTATATGAGTAATTTTGAGATCTACGACAAGGAATTTGTTTATGTGGATATTTATATAGCAATATTAGTTGTATAATAAAAGTGTTGATAGTAGATAAACGCATGCAATCTGCTAAGAGTCCATGATGAAAAATATAGTAATTTAAAGTTCCCAACGATGTGAAAGAGGGTATAGATTAACCCCTATCGGCAAAACAAACAAACAGAATAATCTCTTGATCTACCATCCCTAATCCGACTCTTTCTACACATTTTCAATCCGAACATAATTGTATCACCTTTCATTAAGGTTTAATGTTACGTTGATTTACATATTTATATTTAGGTTATACAATACATTTTTATTGTAATTTAAGTTATAAAAACAGATTTTAAGTATATGCTTTTTTATATTATAATGAAACTACTTAATAACTTAATTGTACCGCAGGATTTAAAAATAAATTTCAACAGTTCCACAACTTGTCAAACTGATATTGATTACTACACAACGTTGTCTACCTGACTGTACTGTAGGATTTATTGTGTACTTCAATAGTCCCAACACCTGACAACTGATATTGATTACTACATAACGTTGTCTACCTGACTGTACTGTAGGATTTGTTGTGTACTTCAACAGTCCTACTACCTGACAACTGATATTAATTTCTACACAACGTTGTCTACCTGACTGCACTATAGGATTTATTGTGTACTTCAACAGACCCAACAACCTAACAACTGATATTGATTACTACACAGCGTTTTCTACCTGACTGAACCATAGGATTTATTGTGTACTTCAACAGACCCAACAACCTAACAACTGATATTGATTTCTACACACCATTGTCTACCTGACTGTACTGTATGATTTATTGTGTACTTCAACAGTCCCACTACCTGACAACTGATATTAATTTCTACACAACGTTGTCTACCTGACTCTACTGTAGGATTTATTGTGTCCTCCAAAAGACCCAGCACCTGACAACTGATATTGGTTACTACACAACGTTGTCTACCTGACTGTACTATAGGATTTATTGTGTACTTTGACAGTCCCACTAACTGACAACTGATATTGATTACTACACAACGTTGTCTACCTGACTGTACTGTAGGATTTATTGTGTACTTTGACAGTCCCCCTACCTGACAACTGATATTGATTACTACACAACGTTGTCTACCTGACTGTACTGTAGGATTTATTGTGTCCTCCAAAAGACCCAGCACCTGACAACTGATATTGATTACTACACAACGTTGTCTACCTGACTGTACTATAGGATTTATTGTGTACTTTGACAGTCCCCCTACCTGACAACTGATATTGATTACTACACAACGTTGTCTACCTGACTGTTCTGTAGGATTTATTGTGTCCTCCAAAAGACCCAGCACCTGACAACTGATATTAATTACTACACAACGTTGTCTACGTGACTGTACTGTAGGATTTATTGTGTACTTCAACAGTCCCACTAACTGACAACTGATATTGATTACTACACAACGTTGTCTACCTGACTGTACTGTAGGATTTATTGTGTACTTCAAAAGTCCCACTACCTGACAACTGATATTGATTACTACACAACGTTGTCTACCTGTCTGTACTATAAGATTTATTATTGTGTACTTCAACAGTCCCACCAACTGACAACTGATATTGATTACTACACAACGTTGTCTACCTGACTGTACAGTAGGATTTATTGTGTACTTCAAAAGTCCCACTACCTGACAACTGATATTGATTACTACAAAACGTTGTCTACTTGTCCAAGCTTGCAATAGAATAATTTTTACCTCTTGGTACCAAATATCTACACAGATACTAACCACAATACACTGTCTAGCTTATTACACTGAAGAACTTCACATTTATCCGTTTTATTTCAACTGACAGGCAACTTACACCTGTTATTAAACATTACACAACTTTTACTAGACTGTAATATCTAGACTAGATCTGTAGATCTAGTAGATGTAGCAATTGATTAGTAGATATGTAAGGTCTAGACTGTAAGATTCACTATTCAAACAGCGAAACACCTGAATTCAAATATTGATTACTGACACTAACACCTGATATTGATTAAGCTTACTACTTAAACTTGTAGTAATGGAATACTTTAACATACTAACGCACGATTGATATTGATTGACTGATATTGTAAAACGGCGTCTACCTGACTGAACTATATGATTTGTAGTATATACACTCTACCTGACAACCTATATTGATTAATATAACATATTTTCTGCATAGTAGCATTTTATTTTATAGTCGGTTTTATAGTTGTTGAATAATTGTATAGTAACCATAATACATTAATATAAAAGTTCGTGTCTTGACTGTACTGTATACATTTTATATTTCAACAGACCCGCCACCTGACACCTAATATTGATTACTGCACAGTTCTTTCTAGCCAAATGTACAGTACAACCTACCGCATTCGTCTACAGATTAAACATTTTTTATGTGTTTTTATTTATTGGTGTTCATTCTAATTCATCACATTATCGTATTGACCTAACAACAATTCCAAAAATGTATTATAAAATCAATTGTTATATTTATGTGATTAAACACTATCTATAGCTCAAGACGCTTCCAAATGATAAAAGATTTTTGTAATATTATACTATATGCCTGAAAATTATAAGTACTCATAGACATGGTAAATAAACAGTTACAATAACACGTAATTCACGATTATGCTTTAGGGATTTCTACTTTTAACTCTGCAATATTTATTGATCCATTCAATATTGAACAATATTAGTAATGTATCAACAATATCAGTTTAGGTATTTTTGTGGTCGGAAAATTGCAACAATAATTATAATATTAGTTCCTGGTACTTTCATTGTTATTTTTTTTTTATTAAGTATAAATATAAAAATTGAAGGATTTTTTTGATTTTTTGTTTTACAATCCAGTGACACAGATTATCTCCTGATACCCCTTATCAGTAACCACTTGCTGTTATCAATACCTTATCAAGATCCGGTCACTATTGGGTTGGAACTTGACACAGAACTAGCATTATCAGTACGATTTGGCCTTATCAAGGTAAAGTTAACATAGAATCGTTGCCGGGATGACGAAGGTACGAACTAGGCGTCCGGATCGACGCGACACCGTCGAGTTACTGACATACTGACAAGTCTTTCAGTTGTACCAACCTCCACCCACTGCGCTGCCAACGTAACGGCGTTAAATTTCCCTACCTTTTTACAGAGAAAAATGTTATAACTGTAAAAAAGTACTGATGCAAGCACATTAAAATATTTGATTCAATATATAAGTAAATTTTATAAAACTTAACCACCTTAAACTGACCTAATTCTTTGCAATAAATGGATTTACATTCGTAAATGACACTGATTGCCAACCTATTGAAATACTTGTAACAATCCAATGGGAATTTTATACAACTTATGAATTATACAAACTTTTGTACACACATTTTTTTGTTCCATTAGAATGGTGCTATGAAAAACTAGTATATACGATAACTTAGAGAATAGGGAGCATTATTATTGTTTTGATATCACAGATTTATCAAAAAATGTAAAATAAAAATAATGGTGGAAAAGAGTTTAAGTAAAAAATGAAGTAACAGATGATTTTAAGTGTATTTAGTTAGTTGAATAAGCCTATAATATGTCAGAATATCTAACATTCACGATGATAGCAAACAAAATGACATTTATAGAACAAAAGTTGATAACTGTTAGGTAATATTACAGAGAGACACATTTACAAAGACATGAATTTGTGTTTGAGTACTCATTAAAAAAACCTGTAAATGATACCTTGTCTGTAATTGTCATAAACTAAAAATTAAACTGAACTAATCTAACCTAACCTGAACTCCACACCGCAATAAGATTTTTAACAGAAAATCAACCTTTACATTCAACATATCGAATGAAATATTTTATTCGATTTTTATATCGACATAGTATTTAATCTATGTGCTGCCTGCGTAACTGTACCCGCATATTCTATCGGCGGTATAATCAAATGAGTTACATACAGTATTCTACACTGGTTCGATTTTATTATCGAAATTAAATTTTAACTCCAATCTGGTAGTGTATCGATAATCTGAGATTCTACGCTCACCTTGTTTCAAAATTAGTTATTACTTGCACAATGGTCACCAGCCGGTATGTAAATAAGGAGTAAAACTTCAAATAACCTTTGCTTCATCTTAGATTAGTTAGCTATTAGCTACGATATTCTTGTGCTCTGAGTAATATAGATACACTGTAGTGTACTGAATCAGCTGATACAATTTAAATGTGTTTTCAATACTTTGTTTACATTGTTGTTTTTGTTGACGTTGGACATAACAACAGAGTTACTTGGTGTTTCAAATATAACTTTTCTTACGAAAATGTCTTGTTACTTTACATAATTAACTCACAGTACTACAAATGGCGCAGTCTACTAAACGGACCGACGATTTACGTATAGATGCTTTTGATGGTCATTCTGAAGAATGGACTTACTGGCTCGAACGTTTCAAGATTGCATTACGAAACAGAGGAATCAAGAATGAGGATACAAAACGAGACTTGTTGCTAGGGAACCTTGGACCTCAACCCTTCAAGCTAGTATTTGACCACGCACGACCTGATCCCGTCAGTAATCTTCACTTTACAGGAGTTATTGATATACTTAAGAAATACTACACACAAAAATCCGCACCACTATCACAGCGGGTTATCTTTAGTCGCCGTTTCAGACAAGAAGGTGAATCTGTTAGTCATTTCGAATTTGCTTTGCGCGAAATTGCAGGTCTCTGTGACTTTAGTGACAACTTAGACGAACGGCTGAGAGATCAGTTTGTTCTGGGCATCAACAATGATCGCTGGCAACTTGAACTTTTGCGCTTACATGCTACGACAGATACTACATTTGAACAAGTCACAAACACCGCTACTTTATTGGAAAATGTTGACAATCAACAGTCACAATTCCGTAATACACGTTCAGTCAACAGAATAAGCAACAGGAACAAGAAGAATGCTTTCGAAACGATACCGTTGAAACAAGAAACAAAAGGAAACACTTCGAAACAAAACATCTTACATCTTAACAAGAGAACTGACTGCATTCGGTGTGGTTACAAGAAACATACACAAGGAACGAGCTGTCCCGCTGTCGATGCTACTTGCAACGCCTGTGGAGGACTGAATCATTTTGCACGCACTTGTCTTAAAGTGGGTAATGCAGTCATTATCAAAGGTAAGCGACTTAACATGTTAGAGGCAAAAAACTCGTCTTGTAACTCTAGTGTTAAATCTTTTTCTGATACAGATCAAATCCAAGCGATTAATAAAGGGTCGAAAGTAATGCTTTCAGTCAAGTTAAACAATCATACAATTTCAATGTTGTATGACCCAGGTGCAGCGTTCAGTATCATTAGCAGAAACATATGGCGAGATCTAGGAACTCCTAAACTATTTCCCACAGAAAATCTTAATGCATATACAGGAGTTCTAATTGAAACTATGGGTAAAACGTATGTTTCAGTTGAAGCTTTTGGTTCCAAACGTAAGTTACCGGTAATTGTTGTTAAGAAAAACGATATACCTTTGTTCGGCCTAGACTGGGTTCTTGATTTTAACTTACCACTGCCACCTGGGGCTCAAATATGTACATTGTCCAAACAGCAAACAGAACAAGTAAGTGAACAGATTGTTAATGACATTGTTAACGGTTTTCCAGAAGTTTTCAGTCCCTCTTTAGGTACGATTAAAAATCACAAGGTATCTTTTCACATGGCTTCAAATGCAGCTCCTGTAGTTTCAAAACCACGGCCAGTTCCTTTTGCTTTACGGGAACCTGTGGAAAATGAAATTCAACGATTAGTAGACAGTGGAGTTTTAGAACCAGTCGATGCCAGGAATGAACCTATCATTTGGGCTTCGCCCATAGTAATAGTGGTAAAACCGTCTGGAGCTATCCGCATATGCGCGGATTTCAAAAATACTATAAACAAACATATGCTCCCCGATAAATATCCTATGCCTACATTCGAAGAGATCACCTCAAAACTTACAGGTGGCCAGGAATTCTCCGTCATAGATCTCAAAGATGCATATCTGCAGATGGAGGTCGAACCATCGGCACAACAGTACCTGATTATTTCTACTCACAAAGGATTTTTCAAGTACAAACGCTTACCCTTCGGAATCAAAATTGCCACCGGGGTTTTTCAATGCAAGATGGATCAAGTACTGGCAGGCTTACATGGAGTCGCTTGTCTCCTTGACGACGTCATAGTCACAGCCCCAACGAGAGAGGAACATATCGAACGTGTCAAAGAAGTGTTAAGACGTTTTCAAGAATCTGGAATTCGTGTCCAGACATCAAAATGTAAATGGTTTCAAGATTCCGTTAACTATTTGGGTCACAGAATTGATAGAGCTGGTATACATCCAACGACAGAACATCTGGAAGCAGTGAAAAACATGCAATCACCGAAAAATGTGAAAGAGTTAAGATCATTTCTTGGGTCGATCAATTACTACAGTAAATTTATTCCCCATTTACAGTCCTTGTGTGTTCCATTACACAAACTGCTAAAGAAAGGCGTGAAATGGCATTGGAACGAAAACCATGAACAGGTAGCAGCAAAATTGAGGCATCTTCTTACTACAACAGACACGTTGGCTCACTATGACGAATCCCTACCTCTCATCCTCGCAACTGATGCGAGTGATATTGGTGTTGGAGCTGCTCTTTTCCAAAAGTATCCTGATGGGACTGAAAAACCTTTAGCTTTTGCGTCAAGGCGCCTTGATCATGCTGAGTGCCGATACAGCGTGATAGAAAAGGAGGCGTTAGGTTTGGTTTTTGGAGTAACTCGTTTTGAACAGTACCTTTATGGTAGACATTTCGAAGTTCGAACGGACCATAGAGCATTGGTTAAAGTCTTCGGTGAACATGATTCAATTCCGAAGGTAGTTTCAAATCGAATCGCTAGATGGGCATTAACACTGAGTGCCTATGACTACTCGATCAACTATCAACAGGGCAAAGATAACAAAACAGCCGATCTATTATCAAGATTTCCCTTGCAAAATACGATAAAATCTACAGAGGAAGACCAGGGTGGCAGTAACAAAGCACACCTTTTCCATTTGCGTTCACAGGATCTACCAATATCGACAAAGTGTTTGCAAGAAGCGACAAAAACTGATCCAATACTTTCAAAAGTAGTAAACTATTTAAAAAGGGGTTGTTGGCCTTTGGAAAATAATGAAGACACTAACCTACAACCGTACTACAGCAAACGTGAAGAACTTTCCTTTGAGAATGGAATTCTACTTTGGTTTGGGAGATTGGTCATACCTGCGAAACTTAGATCAAGAGTGATGGAAATACTACATGAGGGACATCCAGGTATTGTAGCTATGAAAGGGAAGGCACGTTTTCAAGTCTGGTGGCCTAAACTGGACAAGGACTTGGAAGAACACACTAGACATTGCAATGGATGTCAAGAAAACAGAAGCAAAGATCCTGAAATGCCGTTATTCTCATGGCCTGTTCCTGGAGAAGTTTGGTCACGGATCCACATCGATTTTGCCGGACCCTTCATGGGGAAAATGTGGTTGATTGTAGTAGATGCTCGGTCAAAATGGCTTGAAGTATTCCCGATGTCGTCAACTTCAACAAAGTCAACGATCAAAGCTTTAGAAGAGTTATTTTCAAGATTTGGCTATCCAAGGGTAATTGTAAGCGATAATGGACCACAGCTAACATCCTACGAGTTTCAAACCTTTTGTAAGAGCCTAAACATTAAACATGCTCGAATCACCCCCTATCACCCAAAAAGCAATGGGTTAGCGGAACGATGTGTTCGTACATTCAAAGAACGCATGAATGCTTCAAAAGGAAATGCTGGGACTTTCCAAGAAAAACTCAACAGCTTTTTATTTGCTTACAGAACGTCACTGAGAAGATCTACTGGAAAAACTCCAGCATTTATGATGTTTGGTCGCGAATTACGCTCCAAATTAGACATGTTGTTTCCTGACGTTGAGCAGAAAAACGACGAAGAGTTGGTTCAACAGCGGCTACAAAAACCT